TCCCCGCTTCCTTCCTCCCTCCCTCCCTCCTTCCACCCCACCTCTAGGGTCTTGTGCACACTAGGTGAATGCTCTACCACTGAGCTCCATTTGCAGCCCATGCTTTCTCTTAGGATGAATTTAGACTTTGTTGATTCAATAATTGTGTATAACAACCCCTGTTCTTATAATCACCTGTCTCTTGCTCTATGGGGATGGGAAGGAAGCCAGATTCTTGGGCCACTTTAGATTTCTGCCTACCACTTGTATCTTTTAATACCTTATAAAATTTGAATGTGTGAAATTTGATTTGTGGTGAGATTGAAGGACCAGATTTGCGAGGAGAGGGATTCGTCCAACAGTTTGCATCTGGGCCTAGCAGTGTGGCTTAGTGATAGAGTGCTTGCGTAGTGTGTGTGAAGGCCTGGGATCAATTCTCACCAATGCAAAGTAAAAATTTTAAAAAAGGGGGTCGGAGACATGCTCAGTGGTTAGGAGCACTGACTGCTCTTGCAGAGGACCTGGGTTTGGTTCCCAGCACCCCCATGTCAGGCTAACAACTGTCCGTAACTGCAGTTCTAGGAGATCTGACGCCCTCTTTGGGTCCCCGTGGCACTGCATGCGTGTGTTGCATTTACATGTATGCAGGTAAAACACTCATCAAAAACATTTTTAATTGAAACGAAAGAAAAAAAGCATGCATGGACAGCACAGGCGGCACCACGGCTGAGGTGGGGACCAAAGCCTGCGAGGAGTTCTCCACCTCCACTGCGAAGTGTTCATGGGTTTAGGAAGGACTCGCTCCGTCCCTGGAGGGATTTTCTGTTACAGATGTTCTCCAGAGTGTGGAACGAGGGCCTTTCACCTCTCAGTGGAGTTAGGTGTTTGATGAAGGGTAATTTTTCAGCCGAGCTGAGGACACTGATCCAGACGGTTCCACTTTTACCTTCTTGCTTGGATCCTGCCAGCGTATGAAACAATAGCCCTGTGCTATTCAGTGGGAATCTCAGGGTGACTTCCGGCATGTAGAGCAGCTAGTCTGAAGGAAGGTGGAGATGGAATTCCACAACCAGGTCACATGATGGCCCTGCAGCGTGAGCTGAGGCAGAGAATAAGGACCTGGAGCTGGAATGTGAGGCTCTCCGGGCTTTATGTGGGAGAAACAGCTGTTCTCTGCCGTCTTTATTAGTCAGAAGCCACAGAGGTAAATGTGACGCAATGGCAATGCACACGTCACCTCGTACAGGGGGGAGCTGTGTGTCTGTTTCTGCGTTGAGAGGGATTCAGCTGTGTTTATCTGCTCACATGCAGTCAGTAGAGGGAGGTCGTTGGGTCCTGAAGGAGGTAAATGCCAGAAGACAGGTGAGCTAGACACGGCATTTAGTCATTGAGGAAATTCTGATTAAAAGCACAGTGAGGTACTGTGTCATAGCCTGGCTGTGAGTTTAAAAATGTATTTGAAACCATGCAAGGAAAGGGGAACAGTGCTAGGGTTGGAAAATTAGGGGATGGACAGTTGGTACGGCTACTTTGAAACTGGTGATGGTTTCTTGAAAGGCTAAGCACAAACTTTCCAAAGAGCCTAGCAATTCTGTTCCTTAACACTCAAATCAAATGAGACGGTGTGCTCACAGAGTCTGCTGTGAATACAACTTTACAGCAGTAATACACATACTAGCCGAAATGTGGAAACAGCCCAGTGCTCATCACCAGATGGACGGAATTTCTTCCATGAAATGTGACCCTGCAGTAGGAGGTAACAGCTCTTACACTGCAATTCGGAAGAAGCTTAGAAAGAAAACATGGCCAGGAGACTGTTAGTGGTTGGGGGAGGGGAGGGGGAAGACCTAGGCCCCTCATCTCCAGTCTTGACCGTCATCTTTTCTGCAGCACCGTCACTTAGACCATTTGTCACCTCGGGCAGCTTCCTCCACCATAAAGCCCTCACTCTGAAGTCCCCACAGCCATTCGACTTAACTTACCGTATTTGTGCTAGTGCTGTAACTAAGCGTGGATAAGTCTTCCCTGCTCTATGAGCTCCCGTGGTCTGTCACCCTTTCCTTCTCCTCCTCCCTCCTCTCCCTCCTCACACGTGGCATCTGGTGTGAGACCTTCCGTAGTAAGTATTATCCTTCAGCGGAGTTTGATTGAGTTTAATGTCATTCTCTCTGCGTTTTAAAATTGCTCTTGCAAATCGTGGTGAGGTTTGTAGAGTTTTCTCATTGGGGAGAGCGTGTGCTCATAATCGCCTCTCTCTATACTTCTGACCTCAGAGACACGACTGAGCGTGCTGTGGCGGGATCTATTTCTGCCCTTGTCGCAGATGGCCTCATGGTCATAGAACGTGCTAGAGTGTACACAGGGTGGGTACTGAAGGGAAATTGCTCTTGCAAATCGTGGTGAGGTTTGTAGAGTTTTCTCATTGGGGAGAGCGTGTGCTCATAATCGCCTCTCTCTATACTTCTGACCTCAGAGACACGACTGAGCGTGCTGTGGCGGGATCTATTTCTGCCCTTGTCGCAGATGGCCTCATGGTCATAGAACGTGCTAGAGTGTACACAGGGTGGGTACTGAAGGGGCTCCATCTATGCAGTAGGAAACGGGATAAGAACTCCCATGTATACAGAGACACACACACACACACACACACACACACACACACATACACACATACAGGTGTGCACATGGATACATAGACACAAGAGCTGATGTTTTCCTGGCTTTAGTGCCAGGCCTGTTTATCAGCTCACTTTTGGCCCTCTTCACTAATGCTGGATAGCGTGTCAACTTGACAGACCCGAGTTGGAAGAGCCTCAATTGGGGAATTTCCTCCATATAACTGGCTTGTGGCCATGTCTGTGGGGGATCTTCTTGATTGTTGAGTGATCTGGGAGGGCCCAGCCCACTGTGGGTAGTGCCATCCCTGGGCAGGTGGGCCTGTGTTGGATAAGAGAGCAAGCTGAGCAGGGGCCAGGGGGGCAAGTCGGTAAGTAGTCCCTTCCTCCATGGCCTGTGCTCCAGCTCCTGCCTCCGGGTTCCTGCCCTGAGTTTCTACTGTGGGCTCCCTGATGAACTGTGACCCGAGAGATGTAAGCTGAATAAACCCTTTCCTCCCCAAGTTTGTAGTGGTTAGAGAGTTTTGTCACATCAATGGAGAAACAAACTAGGATATCAACATTTTCAGGGTTGTGGCAGGATGCAATATCAATTTACAAAAATCAGTTGCCTTTCTATATACCAATAACAAGCAATCAGAGAAAGAGTTCAGGGAAACACTCTCATTCACAATAGCGGAAAGGAGAAAAGAAAAGAGAGAAGAAAGAAAAGAAAGAAAGAAAGAAAGAAAGAAAGAAAGAAAGAAAGAAAGAAAG